TGCAGTCTCAGTCTGTCACTCAGACTGTAGGGCAATGGCACGCTCCTGGGCACCACAGTCTCGACCTTCTGTGCTCTGGCCATCCTTCCGCCTCAACCTTCCAAGTAGTTGGAACTACTGGTATGCGCCGCCACACCTGGATAATTTTTTTTTTTATTGTAGAGATAAGGTCTCGCCAAGTTACCCAGGCTGATCTTGAACCCCAGGGCACAGGCAATCCTCTTACCTCGACCTCCCAAAGTGCAGGGATTATAGGTGTGACCTACTATGCTCACTGTAGCATACTATTCTCAATGCTTTACATGGATTAACTCATTTAATCTTCATAACACTATCAGTGTGGTGCTGTTATTCCCATTTTACAAATGAGAAAACTCAAGATGACGGTAATGTCCAAGGTTACACAATAAATGTATATTCCTAGTTAATGTATATACTTATTTATTGCTGTCTTTACCTTTGAAGATTATAATTGCTTTGGTAATTCTTAGCTCTAGAATTTACTTGTACAGTATTTTTTTTTTTTGAGTTGAGATCTTGCTCTGTCACCCAGGCTAAAGTACAGTAGTATGATCACAGCTCATCACAGCTCACCTCAACCACAAATTCCTGGCCTCATGCAGTCCTTCCACCTCAGCCTCCTGGGCAGCTGGGACTATGGGTGCATGCTACCACATCCAGCTAATTTTTTGTTTGTTTGTTTGTTTGTAGAGATGAGACCTCACTATTTTGTCTAGGTCTCAAAACTCAAGCGGTTCTCCTACCTCAGCCTCAAAGTGCTGAGATGGCAGGTATGAGCCACCAATCTGGCCATGAAATACATCTTAAAATGTACATTTACTAAGATTCTTATACTCAGTCAGTGTTTATTGTCTGTATTTTTTGTGTACACAAAAGATATTGTTACTACCAAACTAAAGATACCTTCACACAGATATGGGAAGCAGTAAATATGACCTTTTTCTAATAGATAATTTCTCTTCAGTTGATGGAAAACATCAAGAACTTGATGAAGTCAGTCTGCTTACTGCTATCACGATATTTATTTTATCTACCAGTCCGGAAGTAACTACCATCCCATGCCTTCAAAAGCGCTGTATTGATAAATTTAAAGTTGCTCTTCAGATAAAAGATCCCATGGTAAGTATCTTTTAACATAGAGATGTCTGTAATAGAAATATGTTTGGGCTTTTGCAACGTTTTCTTTGTGATTTTGTTGACTCCAACAAGAAATGTCAGAGTATAATATTTTATTTTTAGATTTAGGATTAATTTCTGTTCTTGGGGTGACAAAGCTAAGTAATAGTAGTCTTGTTCTTGGATAGTAAGAGTAGAGGATAGTGGGAAAAGGAGAGTAGAATGTTAGAAAACTAAATTTGAAATAGAGAATCTTGGCTGGGTGCGGTGGCTCAAGCCTGTAATCCCATTACTTTGGGAGGCTGAGACAAAAGGATTGCCTGAGTCCAGGGGTTTAAGACCAGCCTGGGTGAGACCTCATCTCTACAATAAATAAAAAAATTAGGCATGGTGGCACAGGCCTGTAGTTAAGCTACTTGAAAGGCTGAGGGGAAGGACTACCTGAGCCCAGCAGGTCGAGGCTGTGGTGGCCATGAGCATGCCACTACACTCCAGCTTAGGTGACAGAGTGAGACTCTGACTCAAAAATAAAAGAAATAAGGAATCTTTTTTTTGTTGTTTTTTTGTTTTTTAAATTGTAGTCTCACTCTGTCGCCCAGACTGGAGTGCAGTGGCACGCTCCTGCCCACCGCAG